TGATGAGAGAGAAACATCGATCAGCTGCTTCCTGCACACCCCCTATTGGGTATGTGCCCACAACCAAGATACGTGCCCCCGACCAGAATCGAACCCGGGACCCTTCAGTCCGCAGGCTGATGCTCTATCCACTGAGCCACGCCAGTTTGGGCAAAGAAGGAGTGTTTTTATTTTCAAGTGAGCTCTCAAGTGCTTCCTGCTCGGTGCTGGCAGACTTAGTTCACGCTCCTCCTATCGTGTGATGTGTCCCTCTCCCAACCAGCTCCCTGCAGGCATTGAGGCAAGGCCAGCCTCTGATTTATCCCGGTGCTTGTCATAGTGCTTTGTACAGTTTAGACTTATTTATATCCTGCGTTGTTCCATAGAGATGCTATTAAGACGTATTGATATGATGAGATATATAAAATAATTGAAGACTTTGGGATTGAAATAGCGCGGGAAAAGAAAAGGCTGAGCACACAGACGGTGAGACACTTTGAAAGATTCTGTTGTCAGGTTGGTTCTCAGCTCCTTCGGGGTTGATGTAAAGAGAGGGACATAGTTATGTCTGTCCTTTATGGACTGGGCTAAACAGAATAAAAATCAACAACTTGTAGTTACATCAGGGACCAAGAAATTTCCCTTCTGGGACTTCCTTGCCATTCTGTAATCCCTGTATTTATTAGCCTAATGTTTGTTTTTGTTTTGCTGGGGTTTTTTAAATTATTTTTTATTGATTTCAGAGAGGGAGAAAGAAACATCAATAATGATAGCAAGTCATTGAGCGGCTGCCTCCTGCATGTGCCCTCCTAGGGATTGAACCTGCAGCCCGGGCATATGCCCTTGACCAGAATTGAACCTGGGATTCTTCAGTCCTCAGGCTGATGCTCTATCCACTGAGCCAAACCGGTCTCGGCTACCCTGCTTTTCTTAAGTTTGTGTTATAAAAACAGTTATTCCTCTTCCATGCAGCTATGTTACTATATTGAATATGACTTCCAAACTGTAGATTGTTGTCCTACGAGTCTTAGGAGTCTCTGGAATGTCTTGATGAAGAATCATTTCTCTTGAACCCTCGCTGCAGTTGGTTAGTTTGTTTAGCTGGGTTCCAGATTTAATTCCAGTAGTCTCGTTAAAAGGATTTGTCCTCAGACTTACGTCAGGCAAGTAATTAAATCAACTAGCATGAAAAAATAAAAGTAATAAAATAAAATAAATCAACTAGCATGAAGTTTGATCAAAGCTGTCAGCCTAGCCGAAACCAGTTTGGCTCAGTGGATAGAGCGTCAGCCTGTGGACTGAAGGGTCCCGGGTTCGATTCCGGTCAAGGGCATGTACCTTGGTTGCGGGCACATCCCCGGTAGGGGGTGTACAGGAGGCAGCTGATCGATGTTTCTCTCTCATCGATGTTTCTAACTATCCCTCTCTCTCTCTGTAAAAAATCAATAAAATATATTAAATAAATAAAAAAGCTATCAGCCTGGCAACTTAGTTAAGTGGAAAAGAGAGAACTTTGTATAGAACTTGTTTCTTGGAATTGGTCCAAAGGAGAGAGAGATATGCTAGCATTTTATTATTTTTATTTATTTTAATATATTTTATTGATTTTTTAGAGAGAGGAAGAGAGAGGGATAGAGAGCTAGAAACATCGATGAGAGAGAATCATCGATCAGCTGCCTCTTGCACACCCCCTACTGGGGATGTGCCTGCAACCAAGGTCCATGCCCTTGACCGGAATCGAACCTGGGACCTTTCAGTCCGCAGGTCGACGCCCTATCCACTGAGCCAAACCGGCTATGCTAGCATTTTAGTTTATCAAGAAATTCACAGTGAATAGGCATGTGTCACGGCGTTTTGCTGACTTTGTGTCACCACCAGGACCTCTGCGGCTGCCCAGGGAACCTTCCGCCCTGTAACGGGCTTCAGGCTTAATCAGGCTTTGCTCTCCCCAGGGTCCAGCTAATAACACCGAGGACTTTGAATCCGCCGTGAGCTCTGCTAAGTGCTTTTGAGATTATAATAGAGTTCTTTTATTCCATTTAGTCCTCAAAATAAACTCCATTTTACAAAAGAGAGAAACCGGAAGTTGTGCTCTGCCCAGCATCTTCCGGGTCGTGGAAGAGGGAGCCAGAGCTTGAAGTCGGTCCCTTTTATCATGTCACAGCGCTGGGTGTCGTAACCCATTTTCTACTCTTTTTTTTTTTTTTTTTAATATATTGTATTAATTTTCCACAGAAAGGAAGAGAGGGATAGAGAGTCAGAAACATCGATGAGAGAAAATCATCAATCAGCTGCCTCCTGCACAGCCCCCACCAGGGATGTGCCCGCAACCAAGACATGTGCCCTTGACCGGGATCGAACCCGTGACCCTTCAGTCTGCAGACCAACGCTCTATCCACTGAGCCAAACCGGTTTCGGTGCATTTTCTACTCTTAGAGTGTCTATTGAGACTCTTATTTGGAATAAACCCCACCATTGCAAAGCCCCTGGGAATAGTTTTTAGAGGCTCGGCATTGTGGATTTGCTCAGAATAGTCCATCTAGATATAGTGAGATCCTCAGGCAGATTGCCAAGCCTTGAAACCTTTTTGAGGTTTAAAGAGTATTTACTTCAGTTACCGAAATGCCTCCGGAAACACATGACAATTTCACCCAAATAATGACAAAGGCTGGGGCGGGCCATCTCGCTTCCTCAGATATTCATACCTTCCCTGGCCATCTGTGCCACTACCCTGCTCTCTTAGCCACATGAGGATTGTCATCACTCTCGTTAGAGAGAGGAGGAGGAAGAGGGAGGGAGAGAGAGAAACAGGCTCCCTGCTGAGGACCAAGCCTAGGCTTGTTGTGTCCTGACTGGGAATTGAATGGTGACCTCTCGGAGCATGGGGCGACACTCAATCATCTAAGCCACACCGACCGTTATTTTCTCCTTTTGTGAATATTGCCTTTAACAAAAATAATAATAGCCGAAACCGGTTTGACTCAGTGGTAGAGCGTCGGTCTGCGGACTGAAAGGTCCCAGGCTCGATTCCGGTCAAGGGCATGTACCTTAGATGCGGGCACATCCCCAGTGGGGGGTGTGCAGGAGGCAGCTGGTCGATGTTTCTCTCTTATCGACGTTTCTAGCTCTCTATCCCTCTCTCTTCCTCTCTGTAAAAAATCAATAATATATATATATTTTTTTTTTTTTAAAAGATTTCTTCAAGCACTCTGCCAGCTCCTGCATGTTCCCTCCAATTACTGCATCGGAGGACCAGAGGAGACGGGGTGGGCGTGTGACTGATGAGAGGAGAGGGAGGGGGCCGCAAGGGGAGGACTATTACGGGAGGTGATAAGAGCTGTATCTGTACACAGTGGCTCAGCAGTGACAAGAATACCGGGAGGTGTCGATGCCACGATGGGAGATGGGAAGCACAGAAATGGGGGGGAGAGCCAGGTTAGAGGTCCCTGCCCGGTGTGTCACGCTCCTGGGGGCTCAGCATGACAAGCAGCTTCTCCTATACGCTTCCCTTTTAAGGGGCGGGGGTGGGGTGGGGGTGGTCACAGGGCCAGCAGGCAGCAGTGCCACACTTAGCAGTGCTTCAGGGAAGCATCCAGGGTCCACCTCTCTCCCCCATGAGATGGTTGACTCCCTTGGGATCAGGAAATTAGCTTTTAAAAAAATTATTATTATTGACTTCAGAGAGGAAGGAAGAGGGAGAAAGAAACATCCGTGATGAGAGAATCATGGATCGGCTGCCTCCTGTGCGCCCCCTGCTGGAGATGGAGCCTGCAACCTGGGCATGTGCCCTGACTGGGAATCGAACCGTGACCTCCTGGTTCATAGGTCCATGCTCAACCCCTGAGCCCCTGTGGCTGGGCCAGGTGATTATCTTTTGTTCCCCCTCCTTCAGTGCCTCCGTAGTGCTCTGAACAGTATTGGGTAGTAAACATTTCAGCCAAAGAAGTGTATTTTCCTGGAGCACAGCTTTTTTGCTCATAAAGCAATGCCACCGACCCAGAGGTTCCTTCTGGGACCTCTCCTTGGGAGGGGGGGGCAGTGTTGAGTGTGAGTGGGCAATGCTATAGGACTGCTGCTTTCGGCCACAGGAAAGTCGCCAGAAACCGTAAAAGGATTTAAAACAGGCTGGTCTCAGGTTAGATTCCGGTCAAGGCATGTACCTTGGTTGTGGGCATATCCCCAGTAGGGGGTGTGCAAGAGGCGGCTGATCAATGATTCTCTCTCATCAATGTTTCTAACTCTCTATCCCTCTCTCTTCCTCTATGTAACAAATCAATAAAATACATTTAAAAAAAGTTAAGAAAATTTAAAAACAACAACAACAACAAAAACAAAACAGGGTAGTGTAGCTGAAACCGGTGTGGCTCAGTGGATAGAGTGTCAGCCTGCGGACTAAAAGGTCCTGGGTTCGATTCTGGTCAAGGGCATGTACATTGGTTGCCGGCACACTCCAATAGGGGGTGTGCAGGAGGCAGCTAATCGATGTTTCTCATCGATGTTTCTATCTCTCCCTTCTTCTCTGTAAAAAAAAAATCAATAAAATATATATATATATATATATTTTTTTTTTTTTAAAAGGGCATGTACCTTGGTTGTGGGCACATCCCCAGTGGGGGGTGTGCAAAAGGCAGCTGATCGATGTTTTTCTCCAATCGATGTTTCTAACTCTCTATCCCTCTCGGTTTCTCTCTCTAAAAAAAAAAAAAATCATCAATAAAATATATTTTAGAAAGAAAGAAAGAAAGCAAGCAAGCTAACTGGTGGGAGTGGAGAGGGAGGGCCAGGTCCTTAGCAAGAGGCGGTGCAAACACCACTCAGAAGCGGTGGCCCCTGGGGCAGGACTGCGGGGGCCCAGGTTGTGGGGGCCCTGACCCAGGCCTGGGAGAAGGGCTAGGGGGTGGGGCGGGAACTGGGGGCGGGGCTTATACAGGCCCGCCCCCAGGGCGCGGGTTTAAAAGCTGGGAGCGGAGCCGCTGTGCAAGCTCGCAGCTCTGCGGTGCATCCCGCATCCCGGCACCGCGATGGCCCTGCGGGCGGGGGGCGCCCGGTGGCTCCTCGGCGCCGTCCTGCTCTTGGCTCTGCTCGCTGCCAGCGCCGCTTCCCTGGGCTGGGACCTCCGGGAGCCCCGCAGCCGGGCCGGCAGAATCCGTGTGCACCCGCGGGGCAACCTCTGGGCCACCGGTGAGTGTCTGGGACCCGGCAGGCGCCCCTGGCCAGCATGCTCTCATCCCCTTTCCTTTTCCGGCCGCCCCCTCGGCCACAGGCATCAGGGTCTGGGCTGGTGCGGACCCTGGAATTCCTCTCATTTATCTAATTTAATAGATGGGGAGCTTAAGACCCAGACAGGTGAGAGAGTAGCTAAGATCACCCAGCTAGTGTGTGTGTGTGTATGTGTGTGTGTGTGTGTGTATATACACACTATCCACTGAGCCACACCGGTCTTGGGCACTCAGCTAGTTTTAAGCAGAGCTGAGGCTGGCTGCTGCCTCTGCCTCCCAGCTCTGCCCCTTCTTGTTTAGACAAGACCCTGCCGGACCGTGAACAACAAAAAAGACATACCTGCCCACAAGGGAATCTAAAAAATCAAATGAATAAAAAAATCTGAAGGACAGAATGGACTGGTGACTAGAAAAGAATCAGGGGCATAGAAAGGGAGTGGACCGACAAGTCTCAGGGGAAAGGGGGTCTGAGAATTGTCAGTCCACTAACAATTATTATTTGTCAAAATCTTACACCTCTGGATGAAGGCAGTGGCAGGGGTAAGGCCATGGGGTGGGGTGGGGAATCAGGTGGAGGGGAGATATGGGGGGGGGGGCAGAGAGGAACACCTGTAATAATTTAAACAATAAAGATTTATTATATTAAATAAAAATAAAAAACAAGATCCTAATGACTCCTCTCACGTCTGTCTTCTCCCTGCACCTCCTCTGCCCTTCCTGAAACCTCCTCCTTGTCCGCTTCCTCCTCTGCCCTTTGCAGTCCCCTCCTGAGCGGGCAGCACAGCTGGCAGAGCTGGCCCTGACCCTGGCCCACCCACCTTCCAGCTGTGCCATCCTCTCCACCCCCTCCACCTGTTCGGGAAAAGTTGAGATACAGGTTTTTGCCTCCACAAGGGTCTTTACTGGTCTTTGGTGGAGAGTATATTCCTTCCATGAGAACTGGAGGGTGGGAGAAATGGGAGGCTTCTCCCTGAATTCCTTATGTCCAGGCATATCTCTCTCTCTCTCTCTCTCTCTCTCTCTCTCTCTCATTGGAACTGCTTTTCTAGGTCACTTCATGGGAAAGAAGAGTCTGGAGCCCCCTGGCTCATCCCTCCTAAGGACAGCGCCCCACGTCTCTCTGGGGGAGCAGAGACTGCAGCTGAGTCACGATCTGCTCAGGATCCTCCTGCTGAAGAAAGCTCTGGCCATGAGCCCCCGAGGCCCAGCGCCTCACACCCAGGTGAGCCAGGCCCCCACCACTGACCCAGGAGAGGCAGAGCCAGGGCTGCCCCTGGGCCCAGCCCTGGGATCGGGGAGTGCCTGCCCAGTCAGGGGGTGATGGGCCCCAGAAACCCAGGGGTTCCAGGCTCTCTTTGGGATGCAGAGCTCAAAGGGAGAGGACTCCAAAGAAAGGAAGGTGACGCCCTGGCTGGTGTGGCTCAGTGGATAGAGCCTCAGCCTGTGGACTGAAGGGTCCCGGATTTGATTCCAGTCAAGAGCACATGCCCAGGTTGAGGGCTCCATCCCCATTAGGGAGCGTGCAGGAGGCAGCCAACCAATGATTCTCTCTCGTCATTGATGTTCCTATCCCTCTCGCCCTTCTTCTCTGAAGTCAATAAAAATGTCCTTAAAAGAAAAAGGAATAAAGGAAGGTGAAGAAATCAAAAGAAAGGGAAATTTTTAAAAATAAGAAAGGAAGCTAAATAATAAAGAAAAAAGTGAGAGAGAGAGAAAGGAAGCTAACCTTCCCAGCAAACCCCAGGAAATAAGAAGTAGGGGGAAGAGCCTGACTGGTGTGGCTCAGGGGATAGAGTGTCGGCCTGCGGACTCAAGGGTCCCAGGTTCAATTCTGGTCAAGGGCATATACCTTGGTTGTGGGCACATCCCCACTGGGGGATGTGCAGGAGGCAGCTGATTGATGTTTCTCTCTCATTGATATTTCTAACTCTCTATCCCTCTCCCTTCCTCTCTGTAAAAAAATCAATTTATATATATATTTATTTATTTATTTATTTATTTATTTAAATCACCCTTGGTTGGCCAAGCCAGCCTTAGTCTGTAGCCATTCCCTGCCTCTGGGCCGGTCTCTGTCCCACACCGCCTTCCCAGGTCTGCTGTTGCTGTGTGTGGAAGGCAGAGTGAGTGGCAGGTGTGGGTTCTGGTGACAGTGTGCTCGATTCAAAACCTAGCTCTTTGCCGAAACCGGTTTGGCTCAGTGGTAGAGCATCGGTCTGCAGACTGAAAGGTCCCAGGTTCGATTCCAGTCAAGGACATGTACGTTGGTTGAGGGCACATCCCCGGTAGGGGCTGTGCAAGAGGCAGCTGGTCGATGTTTCTCTCTCATCGATGTTTCTAGCTCTCTATCTCCCTCCTCCCTCCCTTCCTCTTTGTAAAAAATCAATAAAATATATTAAAAAAAAAAACAACCCTAGCTCTGAGTAGCCATGTAACCTTAGAAATGGCACTTAACCTCTCTAAGCCTCAACTTTCTCACCCATAAAATGGGGTAATGGTGCCATTTCCCATTAAATGAGACCATCTCATTTGCATGATGCCCAACACATAGAAAGACAGAAAGTGCTTAGTAAATGGGAGCTGGTAGGGTTTGAGATCCTTGGCAGCACCTGTTGCTGACTCACCTTTGTTTGAATATATTCTTATTGATTTCAGAGAGGAAGGGAGAGGGAGAGAGAGAGAGAAACATCAATGATGAGAGAGAATCATTGGTCGGCTGCCTCCTGCACGTCCCACACTGGAGATCGAATCCGCAACCCAGGCATGTGCTCTGACAGGGAATCGAACTGCGACCTCCTGGTTCGTAGGTTGACACTCAACCACTGAGCCACACTGGCTGGGCCTGACTCACCTTTGGATCCACCACTGTGCCTAGCATGCAAAGCACACATTTAAAAATATATTTTATCGATTTTTTACAGAGAGGAAGGGAGAGGGACAGAGAGTCAGAAACATCAATGAAAGAGAAACATCCATCAGCTGCCTCCTGCACACCCCCCACCGGGGATGTGCCCGCAACCAATGTACATGCCCTTGACCGGAATTGAACCTGGGAACCTTCAGTCTGCAGGCCGACGCTCTATCCATTGATCCACACCGGTTTCGGCTAAAGCATACATTTTGAAAGAAGGGAGGGGCATGCCCTAGAGAAGGTGCACAGAACCACCTGCCCCTGGGGATCTCGGATGAAAGGACTGTCTATTCTGAAGGCAGACGATGTGACCTATGGGACCATTGTTCTAGAAGGCCTGAAACGTGCAGACCAACTAGAGAATCTCAGAGGAAGCAGTTACCCAGCCCTGGGGACGGGCTTCAGAAGTGAGGCCTGCGGGAGTGAAAATGCTCACACTGGCAGAGGGCCAGCCACCGACTCGGAATTTCCTTCCATGGTCCCCCTTGAATGTCAGGACTCCTCTGAGGTTTGGGGGTGGGAGGGTGGGGAGGATGCCTCCGAGGAGAGTCTGTCCTTGGCCGACTCTGGATGCCTAGCCCTTAGGAATGGCAGAATACCCTCTTAACTGCTCCCTGTGCCCAGGTCAGTTCTTCTGTGTCCCCTTCAGTATAGGAGGCCGCTGGTGCAAATGCTGCAGAAGTGATGGCATTGACGAGGAAGATGCAGCAACGTGGCTTAGACTGCGCCCATCCCGGGACCCTGGTAGTGGCCCCATCTGGATGTAAATTCTGGGCTCAAATCGCTGTCACTCCATTCCTGTGATCTGTGGTCAGGTCACCAGGAATATCACCAGTGCAAACACAAATGATGTCCCTGCTGTATTTCTTGCTTCCCTGTTGAAGTTGTGAATAAAACCCTGCTCTTTCCATAGAATGTCTGGTCCTCTCCTTCCAGTGTGTTTGAGGAGATGGGGTGAAGGGGGGCTGAAGATGGGATTGGCTCCAAAATGCCCAGAACACTCCATGTTACCAGCCTGGCACGGACTCGAAACTCCTCATTAGCTCCTTCAGCAAACAGGTACCCCACACCTGCTGTGCACCAGATCCTGTGCCAGGCAATTGGTTCTACTCCTCTCCTCTCTGCCACCTACTGGCACAAGCTGCCTACACCACGACACCTACATTACATGGGGCTTTGCTTACCCCATTCATTTCATGATCGTGCCAATCTTTGACGGGAGCCCCCAGCACCTTACAAGGGGGAGGGCCAGCTGGGATCCAGACCCTGCTGTCCTCTCTCACTCTTCTTTAGAACTTTCTGTAAGATTGCCAAAGTTAGCAAAACATAAAGGGACACCCAGTTAAATTTGAATTTCAGATAAGCAATCATTTTTTTCATATAAGATGCCCTGATGGCCCAAACCGGTTTGGCTCAGTGGATAGATCGTCGGTCTGGGGACTGAAGGGTCCCGGGTTCGATTCCAGTCAAGGGCACGTGCCGTGGTTGCGGGCGCATCCCCTGTGGGGAGTGTGCAGGAGGCAGCTGATCGATGTCTCTCGCTCATCGATGTTTCTAACTCTCTGCCCCTCTCTCTTCCTCTCTGTAAAAAATCAATAAAATATATTTTTTTTTAAAAAGATGTCCTGATGTTGCAGGGACATACTTACAAGAAAAAAATGTTTTGTTGTTTATCTAAAATTCGAATTTAACTGGCCGTCCAGTATCTTATCTGGCCTTGGCCCTCTGATCTGCAAATACCCGGTCGTAAAACTAACGGTATTTGGTCCCTCAGGCCCCAGCCAGAGCTGATATCCCGGGAATCCCCGATTCTGCATACTTTTGCCCAGAGAACTCCTAACGCAGCCTTAGCAAAGCGTGCAAGCTGGGTCCGGGGCGCTTCCCGAACTCTAGCCCCGCCCCTGGCGCGAGGCCACGCCCTCTGCGTCGGATAAGGACACGCCCCTCTGCGTCAGGACGCGCGCACTCCTCGCGAGAAGACCCCCCCCTCCCGCCGGGAAGGTCCTGGGGCGGAAGTGGGGCGGCGGAAGTGAGCTACCGGAGCGACAGTTGCCATGGAGTCCGCGGAGGACTGGCTAGTGGAATCCTTGCGCTTGTACGTCGTGTGGACCTGGGGTCGGGCTTTCGGGTTGGAGCTGGCGGGGCCGGCGGGCGGGCGGGCGCGGGGCTTGGCGCGTGGGGGCATCCGGGTCTGGGCCGGCGGTTAATGCCCTCGGGGCGGGGCGGGCGGGGCCGCACGAGGATTCCACTTGGGCCTCGGATCCCGCTTCTGGGAGACCGCACAGCCCTGCGGCCGCGAGTTGTGCCGCGGTGCTAGTAAGAGCGGTGCTGTGCAGGGTCATAATAGGTGGCCAGTTATTTTGCACCCTCCAATTTAGTTAATTGTCTCATGGATGCTTTTTAAAAATATTTTTTTAGCCGAAACCGGTGTGGCTCAGTGGTGAAGCGTCGGTCTGCGGACTGAAGGGTCCCGGGTTCGATTCCGGTCAGGGGCATGTGCATTGGTTGCGGGCACATCCCCGATGGGGGGTGTGCAGGGGGCAGCTGGTCGATGTTTCTCTCTCTCTCATCGACGTTTCTAGCTCTCTATCCCTCTCTCCTATTCTCTATAAAAAAAATCAATAAATATATATTTTTAAAAAATATTTTTTAATTGATTTCAGCCGAAACTGGTTTGGCTCAGCGGATAGAGCGTCAGCCTGCGGACTGAAAGGTCCCAGGTTCGATTCCGGTCCAGGGCACGTCCCCAAGTAGGGAGCGTGCAGGAAGCATCTGATGGATGTTTCTGTCATCGATGTTTCTATCTCTCTTCCTCTCTGTAAAAAATCAATAAAATATATATTTTTAAAGTATTTTTTATTGATTTCAGAGAAGAAGGCAGAGGGAGAGCCCATAACATGGGCATGTGCCCTTGATCTGAATCAATCCCAGGACCCATCAGTCAGAAGGCTCACGCTCTCTATCCACTGAGACAACCCGGCTAGCCCAGTGGTCGGCAAACTCATTCCTCAATAGAGCCAAATATCAACAGCACAACGATTGAAATTCCTTTTCAGAGCCAACTTTTTTAAACTTAAATTTCTCGTAATGCCACTTCAAAATAGACTCGCCCAGGTCGGGGTATCTGGTGGAAGAGCCACACTCAAGGGGCCAAAGAGCCGCATGTGGCTCGCGAGCTGCAGTTTGCCGACCACGGGAGGCTGCCTCATGGATTCTTTACATCAACCCGGGGAAGTCTGGATTCTCTCGTGTTACAGATGAGGACCACGGCTCAGGGTTATTGTGACTGGCCTGGTTCCGGTCACACAGGGAACAGAATGTATAACAAGACTTGTTTCCAGGTTTGCCTGACTCCAGAGTCTCTCAGAGTTCTTTTATATATATATATCAATATGTATATTATGTATGTATATTATTGATTTTTTTTTTTTTTACAGAGAGGAAGAGAGAGGGATAGAGAGTTAGAAACATTGATGAGAGAGAATCATCGATCAGCTGCCTCTTGCACATCCTGTACTGGGGATGTGCCTGCAACTGAGGTACGTGTCCCTGACCAGAATCGAACCTGAGACCCCCCCCTAGTCTGCAGGCCGACGCTCCATCCATGGAGCCAAACCGGTTTCGGCAGAGTTCTTGACATTGTGTCTCTCTCTGCAGGTACCAGGATTTCCATGCATTTGACCTCCCAGGAGCCACTCGAGTCCTGGAATGGATTGGTGACACAGGTGAGGAGATGGAATCCCACTCAGGCTGGGACTGGAGACCTCAGCTCAGGGGCCGCAGCCCAATCTTCTGAGGGCCCCTTGCTCACTTGTGGCAATTTTGTGCTCCATCAGCGCTTCCCAAGTTCTGGATCTTTCCATCCCCCAGCACAGGCTGCATATCGATGACAAGGGAATTTATCTGCCTCAGCGGGTTTGGCGGAGTTTCTAGAGCCAGCCATGGTCCACAATTTTTTTTTAATATATATTTTATTGATTTTTTTTTTACAGAGAAGAAGAGAGAGGGATAGAGAGTTAGAAACATCGATGAGAAAGAATCATCCATCAGCTGCCTCTTGCACACCCCCTACTGGGGATATGCCCGCAACCAAGGTATTATACATGCCCTTGACCGGAATCGAACCCGGAACCTTTCAGTCCGCAGGCCGAAGCTCTATCCACTGAGCCAAGCCGGTTTCAGCATGGTCCACAATCTTGCTAGCAGTTTGTCACAGCTACTTCTGCTTCTTTTTCCCCCCAGGAGTTTTTGTTGCTGGCTATGAAAAGTTGAAAAGAAATGAAATTCTTCACCTGACATTACCTCCCCGACTTTCTGTAAAAGAAAACCAGGTATTATAATTTGAAATATAAATGCTGAGTATATGTGTCTACTTTTGGTCATTTATTAAACCTTTATGGAGCTCCTGTTGGCTGCTAGCTGTTGTCCTGGATACTAGAAAGAGAGTGAGAGAGAGAGAGAGAGAGAGAGAGAGAAACCCTGGTCCTGCCCTTCTGATTTACTAGAGCAGTGGTCGGCAAACTGTGGCTCGCAAGCTGTGGTTTGCCGCTCTGTTGACTAATGAGTTTGCCGACCACTGTGCTCGAGGGAGGCAAATATGCACATAGATAAGTACTAAGGAGCCTCCCGTGATTTACAGAGAGTCACTAAGGAAGAAGTCTATTGTAGTTTATCAAAATTAGATACCTGGAGCCATTAGGGTATAGAAGGTGGATGAAACCCTTAGAATGGTAAAGAATGAATGTGCGTTATCTAGGGAGGGGTTTGGGATGGGAATGGGGGAATAAGGACAATTAAGTGAGACCATAATCAATAAAATAAAAAAATTTAAAAAACAAACAAACAAGAAAATGAATGTGCGTAATGAATCCTATACAAGAAGAGGCTAATATGCAAATTGACCAAACAGCCAAACGACCAGTCGCTATGATGCGCACTGACCACCAGAGGGCAGCTGCTCAATGCCACTCAGCTAGAAGCCCTGAGCCAGGCTCACAGCAGGCAAGCAGTGGTGGCCGGAGCCTCTCCGCCTTCGCAGCAGCGCTAAGGATGTCTGACTGCTCGCTTAGAGGGTGCAGGCCATGCTGAGGGACCTTTCTTCCTGCCAAGTGCATGAATTTCATGCACTGGGCCTCTAGTAAGAAATAAGGGGAAGGTGGCTAAAGACAGAAATTTAGAGAATACATTTAAGTAGAGGAAAAGGAACTCACAAGCAATACAGGAAGGAATAATCTTTAAATAGCAGAAGGGCTTGGGATGAGCAAGAAAGAAAGGAAGCTGTCCATGCAGGCAGCTGAGAGCAGCTGGCGGATAGCAGCACACCAGGCCCTGCCAGGAGGAGCACCTGTTGCCAGCAGAGCTGCTTCCGTGGCCTCTGGCCAGGCTGGGGTCTGGCTCCTCACCCGGAGCGCGTCTGAAAGGCCCCTTCGGAGAGCAGGCTCTATCTGATGGGCCACCCTTCCGCATTGCAGGGCTTACTCCCGGAAAGAGATTTCAAGGTGTGCCACGGAGGATTTTCAGACAGGGCTATCTTTGATCTGAAGCACGTGCCCGACACCAGGTATGGTCAGCTCTGTTTTTCGGACCCCCCACCCCCCATTCAGGATGGAGCGGCTGGGAATGGCAAGGGTATTTTGCCTCTTTATCCCCATGCCGCCCCTAACCCCTGAGCTCATGGATACTGGTGAGAGCGCGCACACAGAAACCTGGAATACAAACAACCTATTGTTTGGCGGCTTCCTGGTCCCTCTGCAGAACTTCCAGTGACTGTGACCCATAGATTTCCAGAGGTGCTCCAGATAGAGAGTAGAAAGATGCTCTTAGTTTAAGGTGACCAACAGGACAGTCCCGATTTTTAACAGTTTGTCCCGCATCCCGTGGCGTTTTAAAAAAGTCCCGATTTTTAAAAATATATATATATATTTTTTTTTTTACAGAGAGGAAGAGAGAGGGATAGAGAGTTAGAAACATCAATAAGAGAATCATCGGTCAGCTGCCTCTTGCACACCCCCTACCGTGGATGTGCCTGCAACCAAGGTACATGCCCTTGACCGGAATCGAACCTGGGACCTTTCAGTCTGCAGGCCGACGCTCTATCTACTGAGCCAAACCAGTTTCGGCAAGTCCCGATTTTTGATCACTGCGGGACAAATTGTTAAAAAAACGGGACGTCTGGTCACCTTATCTTAGTTTCTCAGAGAGCAATGGTGGGTGGCGGGGCCGAATGAGTCCATTGGCAGATGCTGAGAGTCTAGGCCAGCTGTGTGTTCAGGCTCCATGCTGATGTCCTGCTGGGACACTTCATGCAACATGGAAGCCTGGACTCAGCCCCGTGTCTCATGAGTGCGGGCCTGTCCCTAAAGTGGAGTGAGCCTGCTGTTCTCTGTTAATGAGGGAGACGGGACAGTCCCTCCCTGCAGTGAGCTTTCCTGAGATGGGCGTGTAGGCTGGAGAGCGGGAAGGCTGGGGGGCTGTGGGTGAGCTCCTGTCTGAACTGAGGCCTCCTCTCCCTCCTAAACAGGTTGCTGGTGACCAGTGGCCTTCCAGGTTGTCACCTGCAGGTATGGCAGATCGCAGAGGACAGCGGTGAGTGAATCTGACTTGGTGCGGGTGGACACATACCTCCGTCCCCTAATCCGAGTCAGTGAAGCAGTAGACTCAGGCCTGGCTGGCGTGGCGCAGGGTTGAGCGTCGACCTTTGAGCCAGGAGGTCATGGTTCAGTTTCTGATTGGGACACATGCCGGGGTTGTGGGCTCGATCCCCAGTAGTGCAGGAGGCAGCCGAGCAATCAATGATTCTCTCCCATCATTGATGCTTATATCTCTCTCCCTCTCTCTTCCTCTCTGAAATCAATAAATTAAAAAAATAATAATAATTAAAAAATATATATATACATATATACATATATATATGTGTGTGTGTGTGTGTGTTAGAAGTAAACTCAGAGACAGGTGGGAATTAAAATTCAGTGTCTAGCCCTGACCGGTTTAGCTCAGTAGATAGAGCGTCAGCCTGCGGACTGAAAGATCCCAGGTTCGATTCCAGTTGGAGGCATGTCCCTTGACATTTGCCTTGTATAATAAGTTTTTGAAGAAATCATGGTAGTTCATGAATTCTCTTCCTGTTATTTTCTTCACCTAAAGTGAAAATGACACCATCAGTGGAGTCTTTCCTTTTATTTGTACTCCACAAAAGTATGAAAAGCCAGAACTGCTCTGGGGGCTTGAGATGGCATCTGAGATTCATTATCTCCCATTTGCAAAACAGTTCATAAGACAATTTATAAAGAAATTAAAGCGCTCCCTGGCCGGTATGGCTCACTGGATAGAATGTCGGCCTGTGGACTGAAGGCTCCCGGGTTCGATTATGGTCAAGGGCATGGACCTTGGTTGCGGGCACATCCCCAGTGGGGGGGCGGTGCAGGAGGCAGCCGATCAATGATTCTCATCATTGATGTTTCTGTCTCTTCCTCTCCCTTTCTCTCTGAAATCAATAAAAATATAGTTTTTAAAAAAAAGAAATTAAAGTGCTTCTGACAGTTTCAAAATGTAAATATAACAGGTGTTTATGATACATTTTCTCCAGCCAGCTGTCAGTTCCCTTTCTTTTTCCCTTCCTCTTTCTTTTTTTTTTAAGATATAATTTATTGATTTTTTTTTTTAACAGAGAGGAAGGGAGAGGGATAGAGAGTTAGAAACATCGATGAGAGAGAATCATCGATCAGCTGCCTCCTGCACACCCCCTACTGGGGATGTGCCCACAACCAAGAAACATGCCCTTGATTGAAGCACTGAGCCAAACCGGTCAGTTCCCTTTATTCCATGACCTTCTATCTGTACAGGGGAAGACCGCTGGCTGGCTTTCACCAGTTTATCTTTCAAACCTTCACTAACATTCTGGACTTTCCCCTCTTCCGCTTGCCCCCAGATGTCATTGCAGCTGTCAGCACCATTGCTGTGCCTGAGAAAGAGGGGAGTCTCTGGCCGAGGATCGCCATCTGCCCGTCAGAGGCACCTGGAGTCCTCCACGGGGCGCAGCTCAGCGGCCTGAAGGTGGTGGATCTGGAATCCCAGAAGGTCACGTACACCTCAGGTTCGGCTCCTCCAGCCCCGCGCAGCCGCGTTGGAACTGAATCTGTGCCGGATGTGGGAGACACAAGATGAATGAGAGGCAGTCCTGGACTAGCACCACCTAGTGGAGTAGAAGGGTAAAATGAACAGCCGAGACCGGTTTGGCTCAGTGGGTAGAGTGTCGGCCTGCGGACTGAAGGGTCCTGGGTTTGATTCCGGTCAGGGGCATGTACCGTGATTGCGGGCACATCCCCAGTGGAGGGTGTGCAGGAGGCAGCTGATCGATGTTTCTCTCTCATCGATGTTTCTAACTCTATCCCTCTCCTTTCTTCTCTGTAAAAAATCAATAAAAATTTTTTTTAATTTTTAAAAAAAATATATTTTATTGATTTTTTACAGAGAGGAAGAGAGAGAGAGAGCTAGAAACGTTGTTGAGAGAGAAACATCGACCAGCTCTCTCCTGCACACCCCCCACCGGGGATGTGCCCGCAACCAACGCACATGCCCCTGACCTGGGACCCCTCAGTCCATAGACTGATGCTCTACCACTGAGCCAAACCGGTCTCGGCAATAAAATATATATTTTTTAAAAATGAACAGGAGCGGGGAGGCGTGGCTTATCTTGCCTGGGATTGGGGATGCTTCCCAGAGGAAGAGACTTGCCACCAGCCATCCCTGCCTGGGTGCCAGGCCCATGTGACCCCAGCAGCTTTCCTCTTTCGCCCTCTGTCTTCCAGGCGTCGGTGACAGTGAGGAGCTGAGTAGCCTGCAGGTCCTGGACGCAGACACCTTTGCCTTCTGCTGCACCTCGGGCCGGCTGGGGCTCGTTGACACCCGCCAGAAGTGGGCGCCGGCAGAGAATGCCAGCCCCAGCCCCCGGTCCAGTGGAGGGAGGTGGTGTGCAGACGTCAGGGCCAAGGGCCAGGGCCCTGGGCCCAGCATTGCCAGCCTGTGCTCAGATGGGCAGCTTTGTCTTCTTGACCCTCGGGATCTCTGCCATCCGGTGCGCTCAGTGCAGTGCCCAGTGTCCACGCCCAGCCCGGACCCAGAGCTGCTGCGAGTGACCTGGGCTCCAGGCCTGGACAACTGCTTGGCCGTTTCAGGTACCACTGAGCAGGGTTTTGCATCTGTTGCTTGAGCTTTCTCTTCCGAGGGACTGGCGCCTCTGGCCCCAAAAGTTAAAGTCGCTCACCCAGAATCTCCAGATTAACTCTCCAGCTTCCTCAGGGGCAGGCCCTTCCCCATTTGGCTACACAGCTTTTATCCAGGGGAATCAGGGCTTGCCTGTCCTAGCAGGAATTCAGTTCTGAGGTTGGTCAAGAGCCTGCAGACAGTAAGACACTAGGAGAGAGACTATAGAATTCCAAGGGTGGTTCTCAGACTGTTTGCTTTTTTAAAAAAATATATATTTTATTGATTTTTTTTTTACAGAGAGGAAGAGAGGGATAGAGAGTTAGAAACATCAATGAGAGAGAATCACCAATCAGCTGCCTCCTGCACACCCCCTACTGGGGATGTGCCTGCAACCAAGGTGCATGCCCTTGACCGGAATCAAACCTGGGACCTTTCAGTCCTCAGGCCAACGCTCTATCCATGAGACACACCAGTTTCGGCGGTTCTCAACCTTTCTAATGCTGCCCCTTTATTTTTATTTATTTATTTATTTATTTATTTATTTATTTATTTATTTTAATATATTTTATTGATTTTGTACAGAGAGGAAGGGAGAGAGATAGAGAGCTAGAAACATCGATGAGAGTCATCAATCAGTCGCCTCTTGCACACCCCCTACTGGGGATATGCCCGCAACCAAGGTACATGCCCTTGACCGGAATCGAACCTGGGACCCTTCAGTCCCCAAGCCGATGCTCTATCCATTGAGCCAAACCGGTCTCAGCAATGCTGCCCCTTTAATACAGTTCCTCATGTGGTGGTGATCTCCAACCATAAAATTATTTCCATTGCTACTTCATAACTATTATTTAAATATCTGTATTTTCTGATGGTTTAAAAAAGTCTTAAGCCTTAGTACCTACTTCATACAGTTGTGAGAATTAAAAGAGAGAATGTAGAGCCAAAATCGGTTTGGCTCAGTGGATAGAGCTTCGGCCTGTGGACTGAAAGGTCCCGGGTTCGATTCCGGTCAATGGCATGTACCTTGGTTGCGGGCACATCCCCAGTAGGGGGTGTGCAGGAGGCAGCTGATCAATGTTTCTCTCTCATCAATGTTTCTAACTCTCTATTCCTCTCCCTTCCTCTCTGCAAAAAAATCAATAAAATATTTTTTTTTAAAAGAGAGAGAGAGAATGTAGATCTAGGATTAGCCTCAGGCCTGGCACGTGATATACTACAGATTCTCATCGTCACATGCCCCGTGGACTTGGCAGCTGCCAGCATGTGGGCAGATGTTCCGTGCCATTGGTTGGTCATTAAGTACCGGTATCTTGTTTACTATTAGGTTCCTCATCCCATGGCCTGTTTTGGTGCCGTATTGCAAGTTATAAAAATTATTTTAGAGAATCATTGTTGGTCTTCTCACTGCTCGTTCTTCCTCAGGTTTCGATGGGACAGTCCACATCTATGACGTCACGTCCCGGGATGGAACGGAGGGCCCCGAAGAGCCTCTCTTCACTCACAGAGGTCACCTCTTCCTGGAGGACCAGGGGACGGGCGCTGCTCCGCTGGTCACCACCCACACCTGGCACCCCTGCAAGCCAAGGACTCTGTTGTCGGCAGCAAGCGACGCCTCCGTGCAAGTGTGGGAATGGGTGGACCCCCGGGCCTCCCGCTGACACCAGCGCCTTCCTGCCAGGCCCCTGGAAGAGGAGCTGCTGTAGGTACAAGGAGACTGACTTAGGACTCACGTGACCACAAACCCCGTTACCAGCGGAGTGGCCTTGGGATCATGCCTCTCTCAGCCTCAGGGTCTTTATTGGAAAAATGAGATGGTACTAACTGCCTCGCAGGGCGGTTGGGAAGTTAGAAGAAATATATGGGAAAATACCAGGTAGGGTGCACGGTAGAGATTTGGTGGCTACTCTTAGATCAGACAGTTGTGGGCGACAGGATCCTGCTGCTTCCAGCAAATGTCAATCCCTCAGGGTTTTTTTGTGTGTTTTTTTAATATATTTTATTGATTTTTTACAGAGAGGAAGAGAGAGGGATAGAGAGTTAGAAACATCGATGAGAGAGAATCATCGATCAGCTGCCTCTTGCACACCCCCTACTGGGGATGTGCCCGCAATCAAGGTACATGCCCTTGACCGGAATCGAACCTGGGACCCTTCGGTCCGCAGGCCGATGCTCTATCCACTGAGCCAAACTGGTCAGGGCTTGATCAGCATTTTAAGAAGTTTTCATTTAACAACAGGGACCGCTCAGAGCAACCAAAGTGGTGCATTCTCAAAGAGTCAGTCTGACCTTGGGAGGAAAACTGTACTCCCAGAGAATAAGCAAATTCCACTTTGACACCAACAGCGAAGCGTCACACATCCCCCTCAGGCTGGCACCCGGTGGCGCTGTCTCTCACATGCCTCTATTTTGACTGGTCAGAACTGGGTTCCATGTCTCACCTGCAGCCCCCACCTTCCGGGTTCTTCAAGTTCTCCACCCACTGCCTCCTTTCCACTGTCTGGGTGTTTTGTCTCACCCAGATCTGGTTCCCCTGGGGAAGGACAGTCAGGTACTTGTCCAGGACTAGCAACTCCAGGATCTGCTCTTTCGTACACATCTCTGGTCTCAGCCCCTGTGACCAGCTCCCGGAGTTGGATGAGAGCATCCTGTGGTGCTGATAATTCATATATATATATATATATATATATATATATATATATATATATACACACACACATACATATATAAAATTAATTTTTTACAGAAAGGAAGAGAGAGGGATAGAGTCACAAACATTGATGAGAGCCAAAACCGGTTTGGCTCAGTGGATAGAGCGTCAGTCTGCGAGCTGAAAGGTCCTAGGTTTGATTTTGGTCAAGGGCATGTACATTGGTTGCGGGCACATCCCCGGTAGGGAGTGTGCAGGAGGCAGCTGGTTGATGTTTCTCTTTTCTACCCTTTCCCTTCCTCTCTGTAAAAAAAATCAATAAAATATTTAAAAATTAAAAAAAAAGAAACATTGATGAGAGATAATCATATATCAGCTGCCTCTTGCACACCCCCTACTGGGGATGTGCCCGCAACCAAGGTCCATGCTCTTGACTGGAATCGAACCCAGGACCTTTCAGTCCACAGACCAACGCTCTATCCACTGAGCCAAACCGGTTTTGGCTATGCTGATGCTTCTTGATAGTGGAAATGCCAACAGTGCTGGCAGGAGGTCCCTGGTCCGGGGCCACTCCCTTGAAGGGAATTTCTTGCTCGCAGTGAGAATCTTCTAACAGCTTCACTCTTCGAAGCTCTGCTTATACTTGAGGAGCCTGGATTTGTTGGTCCCCGGCTACCGCCATTGTTCAGCTGAGAGAAGAACCGTACAACCGTGCTCTGCAGTCAAAACCTCTTTCTTTGCCTCATGGGGGAGCCGCCGTCAGAGGGAGCCGCTCAGTAGAACCAAAACCAGAGACAGCCAAAACCAGTTTGGCTCAGTGGATAGAGCGCCGACCTAGGGACTGAAGGGTCCCGGGTTTGATTCTGGTCAAGGGCATGTACCTTGCTTGTGGGCACATCCCCAGTAGGGGTGTGCAAGAGGCAGCTGATCAATGATTTTCTCTCATCGATGTTTCTAGCTATCTATCCCTCTCTCTTCCTCTCTGTAAAAAATCAATTAAATAAATTTATTTTTTTTTATTTTTTTTTCCAATTAAATAAATTTAAAAAATAATAATGACCAGAGACATACATTAGAGTGGACCCTAGTGAAAGCCACAAGTGTCGGTCATCCCAGCAGGACTGAGATGAAGAAAGAGCCTTTCCGTTCTCCCTTCCCCATGTCTTGGTGCCCCTGGAGTCTGGCCCTCCGTCACTGGGGAGGCACCTCCGGGAGTTTGATAGGAAGAGGCAAAGGCAGGGATCTGGTTGGAAAGTAAAGGCGCACGGAGCTGGGTTTGCATAGCATTTACGGCTGAGAAAGTACCAGTTACCTAAACTGAAGAATGAGGAAGGGCTGCTGGAGATAACAGGGACCATAAACTGCCACCCTCCCGAGCCACCGGCCACCTTGCAAAGTGAATGTGCAGGGCAAGCACAGGGCGGCCAACGCAGCAGCACCTTGGAGAGCAGCACCGGGCGGAGGCAGCTTGGCCCTTCAGATTCAAAAGCTCCAACTGCTCAGCTGCCTCGCCTCTGGCTGAGTTCCCAGCTTTGAGCGCCCAGTTCAAGGTTCCTCAGTCCTGGCCCCATAACTCCCCAAACAGGAAGACTTACCGTGGTTAAGGTTACAGGCTTTAAGAGCAAATCTAAAAACAGATTCAGCCGAAACTGGTTTGGCTCAGTGGATAGAGCGTCGGCCTGCAGACTGGAAGTTCTCGGGTTCAATTCCCAACAAGGGCATGTGCCTTGGTTGCGGGCACATCCCCGGTGGGGGTGTGCAGGAGGCGGCTGGTCGATATGTCTCTCCCATTAATGTTTCTAGTTCTCTATCCCTCTCCCTTCTCTGAAAAAAATTTTTTTAAAAATATTTTAAAAGAAAAAAATAAAAACAGATTCACACGGTGTTAGAGTTGGAAGGAAAGTTAAGATATTCTGGCTTCAACTCAAACTCACCCAAGATCACGTAGCTGGTTTATGGCAAGAAATGGGACAGTGGTTCTGTCCTCTGACCGTGGACTGGGTGATAGGCCTGCAGAGCCTGACTTGCACTGCTCCGCGGGCCACCCTGGCTGGGGGCGAGGTGGCCCCCGGAGGACCGTGGGAAAAAGGGTGCTGCTGGGATGACCACGCATCCTGCCCCAGGTCCACTCTGGACCCAGATCCCGGCCCCGCCCATCTAAGGGCGACCCAAGCCGCTCCCCTCTGCCAGGGCCCTGCGACTGCGGAAGGTCTGGCCCCACACTGCACTCGGACCCTGGTCCAGACCCCAAATCTGGGCCCTCGGACGCCCACCAAACGCCAGAAGCGAAAACGTCAGCCCCAGGCTTTTTTCCCCCCCGAGCTTCGCCGGACTTCATTTCCCACAAGCCTCCGCGCGTGCCTACAGACTGACGGCCCGGACTTCATTTCCCACAGGCCTCCGCGTGTGCCCGCAGTCCGACGGCAGCGTTAGCCAATAAAGCTTGGTGGTGGCTTAGGCGCCTTTCTGTCCCGGACGAATCACTGCCGAGGGGCGGGACTTTCTCACCGCAAGTTCGGGGTTCGGAGCCACAGCTGGAAGTGACTGAGCGGGAATTCGGGGAGCTGGCAGCCTCTCACCCTGTGGACCCCCGTCCCCGCACGGGAGAGGGGGTCCTGGCAGCCGGAAGCGGGTATTTATCCCTGCGAGCCCTACTGAGCCGAGAGTTATTCTGCCACCAGAGAAAGTACTGTTCTGTCCGGGTTGCCCTCTGTGGTGATGCTTCACCCCCTCAGTCGTCCTCCGAGGCAATTTCTCAGACCCGCTGGGAGCAGCGCAATCGGCCCAGTGAGTGTGGCACCGGCTCAGGGAGGTGCGCCCCACGTGTGAGGGGAGAAAGTGCAGGCGCTGGGGGAGCCCTGAGGGAAGACGGTTAGCTCTGTCCACTGAGCCACACCGGTTTTGGCTGAAGAACTCAAAGTGAATTTGAAGAATTCCAGGGCCAGGCAACCCACTCGGGTCTCCTCCCTGCAGGATGAAGCTTTTCTGTAATAAACCTTTACCTCGCCCCAGCCGGCTTGGCTCAGTGGACAGAGTGTCGGGCGGCAGATTGAAGGGTCCCAGGTTCGATTCTGGCCAAGGGCACATGCCTGGGTTGCGGGCTCAATCCCCAGTGGAGGGCATGTAGGAGGCAGCCTATCAATGATTCTCTCTCATCATTAATGTTTCTTTCTCTCTTTCCTTCTCTCTTCCTTTTTGAAGTCAATAAAGAAATATATATTTTTAAAAACTTTTTTTTTTTGAGTTTTTACAGAGAGGAAGAGAGAGGGATAGAGAGTTAGAAACAGCGATGATGAGAGAGAATCGTCGATCAGCTGCCTCCTGCACACCCCCTGCTGGGGATGTGCCTGCAACCAAGGTGCATGCCCTTGACCGGAATCGAACCTGGGACCTTTCAGTCCGCAGGCTGACACTCTATCCAGTGAGAAAACGGTTTCGGCAAGAAACATATGTTTTTAAAAATAATAATAAACCTTTACCTTTACATTTGCAAAAAAAAAAAAAGAAAGAAAGAAAGAAAGAAAGAAAGAAAGAAAGAAAGAAAGAAAGAAAGAAAGAAAGAAAGAAAGAAAGAAAGAAAGAAAGAAAGAAAAAACTCCAGAGGCTTCTGGGACACAGTGGGTGCAGCAAGCCTAGTATACTGGGTCCCAGCTAAACACCTTGGTTATGAGGCAGGAACTCCCCCTTTCCCCTCTTCCATAAAGGGCTAGAAAGAGCAGCCACTAGTCACGTGCAAGGAAGGACCAATTGCAGTTACGGATCATTTTGACACTAACCAGGGCCAAGACTCAAACCATGTAACCAACATATTGTTTTTAACATTTTGTTTTCTCAATCTGTTCCATAGATTTTGCTCCTGGCTCTGATAATGCAATGGAGTTAACCGTCTTCAGGACCAGAGTGGTTGAGTAACAGGTGCTAGGTAAGTCACTTATTAACCTTTCCTGAGTCCCACTTCCTCAGCTGGGGGAGTGGGGATACAGACCTGTCATAGGGTTGTTGTCATTGCCTTAGCTGGTTTGGTGGATAGAGTGTCGGCCTGCAGACTGAATGGTCCTGGTTCGATTCCTGTCAAGGGCACATGACCGGGTTGTAGGTTCCATCCCCAGTAGGGGGTTGCAGGAGGCAGTTAATCAATGATTCTCTCTCACCATTTGTTTCTATCTCTCTCCTTTAATATATAAAATACATAAATATTTGTTTATTTATTTATCTTAGAGGCCAGGTGCATGAATTCGTGCTTGGGTGGGGCCTAGACAGCCTGGCCAGGGGGAGGGGACATTGATAGATGGCCGGCTAGATCATGGGGACAATTTGCATATTAGCCTTTTATTATATAGAATACACACTGAGTGGCCAGATTATTATGCATTCAGAAATCATAAGCTGTGTGTGTATGAGAGTATATACCGTTTCCCCGAAAATAAGACAGTGTCTTATATTAATTTTTTCTCCCAAAGTTGCGCTAGGTCTTATTTTTAGGGGATTCTTATCTTTCCATGCGCTAGGTCTTATTTTCGGGGGATGTCTTTCGGGGAAACGCAGTATATATTATATGACATGCACTGACCACCAGGGGGCAGATGCTCGATGTAGGAGCTGTGGTCACTTGGCAGCGGTAGTTCTTTGCTGACACACCTGGAACCGAAGGAGAGAGCCCAATTCCAGGGTGCACCACCTGAAAACCGCCCCCTCTCAATCTGGGACCCCTCAGGGGATGTCAGCCTGATCCCTGAGGGCCAGGCCGAGGGACCCCACCAGTGCACAAATCCGTGCACCAGGCCTCTAGTATATATATAAAAGGCTGAGACATGCATGTTAAGAGCTTGGCAAAAAGCCTGTGCAGAGTAACCACTCCATAAATTGTGTTGTTATATAACCTATTGTGGCTTATGTAAACTACAAATGCAACCCAAAGAGAAGTAAAATTCCACTGAAAAAAGGAAGTCTCATTATGAACTTGCCTGGAATGGTAAAATCTCTGACTAGAGAATGCGTAGTTAATGGCACAAGTGTGTCTAGAACCAGGTCTGTCCAGCTCCCTCGATTCCATCCCCCACAGCACTGGTTTTTCAATGGCTTTTAAGGCTCGACATTTCAAAAATAGGAGTTTTCATTAGGATACAAGCTGGTTGGTTTTTATAGATGTCTTCAGCTTTGTCTCACCAGTAGCAATAGATCACAACATTTGAGTGGGCCTTAAGTTAAAACTTGCATTTGTTGTCTTACCAAAGTGTAGGAAATCTAATCATTTCTCAGGCTAGAATTTTGAATTCCACCTGCCTTTTGCATTTTATATACAGGGTGTCTCAAAAAAATATATACATATTTTGAATGATTATAAAATCAGTGTCCATTAAATCTGAAAAGGAGTGAAAATTGAATTATCCATGGTTAAAATGTGTATAGTTTTTTGGGACACCCCATATATGTCCATGAAGAGAACTTAGTTGGCAAAAATTTACTGAGTTCTTATTGTATTCCAGGCCCTGAGGTGGGTGCTGGAGACGGAGTTTGGGACCTCAGTATAGGTGTGAACATAATAGTAGAGGGAGGGGAAAAATTATGTGAGAGAGATGTAGCCGGGCAGCTCAGCTGGTTAGAGCATCATCCTGATATGCCAAGGTTGTGAATTTGATCCTGGTCAGGCACATACAAAAATCAACCAATAAAATGCACGACTAAGTGAAACAACAAATCAATGTTTTTCTGTGTCTCTCTCTGAAATCAATTTTTAAAAATTGGGGAAAGCTGAAACCGGTTTGGCTCAGTGGATAGAGCATCGGCCTGCGGACTGTAGGGTCCCGGGTTCGATTCCGGTCAAGGGCATGTACCTTGGTTGCGGGCACATCCCCAGTGGGGGGTGTGCAAGCAGCAGCTGATCAATGATTCTCTCCCATCGATGTTTCTAAACTCTCTATCCCTCTCTGTAAAAAAAAAAAAACCAATAAGATATATTTTTAAAAAAATATTTAGGGAAAAACAAATGTAATAGGTCCAAGGCACTGAAGTTGGAGAGGGCAGGGGTATAGTAGGCAGGGTCAGGCCTACCAGGAAAGTGCAGGGAAGGCCTCCTGGAGGAGGTGGTGGGAATCTTTCTTCTGGTAAAACTTGATGAAGCCAGGTCATGGGACTTCCTGTTCACAACCTAGCAGTGATGGAATGAACGATGCAGATTTTACTGCCAATGTGGTTGGTTTAACAACAGTCACTACCTACGTTAGGAAAGGCTCCTAGTGTCTAATTTAGGGGATTCTGGATAGAGATGTCTCAGGAGGCCATCTGGCTCCTTAGCCAGCGCTGCGGCCCCACGCCTTGGTTGACAGATTGGGTAGAGTGGCAAAGGACTCTGGGAAAGTGTGTGCTACTGGTTGAGCACACAGATCTAGGTTCCCCCAAACCTGTGCTCTTTGGATTTTTACTTCCTGGAGGTCTTGGAGCATTTCCAGCTTGAGGCAGGAGATGGGATGGCGGGTTTCCTAATGGCGGTCAAGTTCAGGTTTTTTTGACACACATGAAAATACAGAGTCAGGCCCTAGCCGGTTTGGTTCAGTAGAAAGAGCATAGGCCTGCGGACTGAAGGGTACCTTGGTCGATTCCGGGCAAGGGCACAATCCTAGGTTTCGGGCTCAATCCCCAGTGAGGGGCATGCAAGAGGCAGCTGATCAATGATTCTCTCTCATCACTGATGTTTCTATCTCTCTTGCTCTTCCTTTCTCTCTGAAAACAATAAAAATATATTTAAAAAAAAAAAAAAAGAGTCAGGAAGAGAATAGGACTCTACTTTATTAGGCAACATTGAGCATCCATCCTATGAGAACCGAGGCCCCATGCATAGGAGGAGGTGAATTCACATTTCCCAGAAACACCTTCTCTACTCTCCTTTTCTCATAATAAACCCCTTCACCTGCTATCACCCCATCTTCACTGTTTCAAGGCTCCAGGACCTTTCAAGAACAAAGCCCTGGTGGCACCCTAAAAGCAAGGGCAGCTCCGTAGGACAACTCCTGACTCAGACCCGGATCTCTCCAGGGGACAGATGACGTGTCCTCAAAACCAAGGCTTCCTTGCAAATGCCATTCTTAGTACACAAAAGCTGCCGGACAGACGTCTAGCTCTGCATGTAGAACATAAAAAAACGAACACACGTAAGAATGAAGAACCAACAGGCGCACAGAGTAATGATTATGGAGCAGACAAAGGCCCACCTGGGGAGCGCAGGGCGGCCTCACTGAACCTGGCGAGAGAGAAACTGCCACCAACCGGGGTGGACAGCTGGGAGTGTCTGCCTTCACACCCCCAAAACGAAGCCCCACAAAAACCAGTGCCTCCCCCCCCCCCCCCCCCCCGGCAGCTGACTCACCGCGGGACAATAGTGGAGACAAAGCAAAGATGTGAATCTCATTTTCTACCTCCCCTGGCCGGCCCTGTTCAACTCCTACAATGGAAAGGCTATTGGGACGCTGGTTCCAGGACATAGACGGCGTCTCGGTGTTCCTGACACTTCCTAGAGAGGACTTGTCATTCATGGGGTGACTCAGAATTACAGAAGCCGCTCCTCCACCTTGACCTGAAATCAAAGCCCAAGGACAGAACCAGGAAGAACTGGTGCTGACATGGGCGAGGGGCCTGGAAGGCCAGCAGCTGGGGCTGAAGAGGCCTCGGCCTCTTAAAGGGGCAGTACAACCACCAGGCTGCACCAGTAGATTCCCAGTATTTCTCTGAGGACTCTGCAGATGTGGGCCATGCTGTCTTCCGTTCCACGTGGAGAAACACTCGCCTTTCTACCAAAGAAGAAACTGGGGCACAGAGGGATGAGGAGAGCGAAAGTCAATCAAGCCATGAAACGAATCAGAAAAAGACCCAACTTGCCCTAACCAGTGTGGCTCAGTGGCTGGAGCGTCGGCCTGCAGACTGAGGGGTCCCAGCTTCGATTCCGGTCAAGGGCATGTGCCTTGGTTGCAGGCACATTCCCAGGAGGGGGTGTGCAGGAGGCAGCTGATGGATGTTTCTCTCTCATCGATGTTTCTGGCTATCCTTCTCCCCTTCCTCTCTGTAAAAAAATTAATAAAATATATATTTTTTTTAAAAAAAAAAAAGACCCAACTTTTCGACCTTCCAGTCCTACACTGTTCTTGGGGTTTGGCTCCGACCACTAAGACGATGGGATCCTAGGCAGGAGGATGAGCAGTGGTGAGATTCTGGCACAAAGGGGCGCCACGGGACAGCTCCCCGTCCTTTTCCTTTTCGCCACGTCAATAGAGTTTCCCTTTCGTGTGCGTTCTCTGGTGCGTGATGAAATTGGAGCTGTTGCTGAAGCCTTTGCCACACTCGGGGCACTTGTAGGGCTTCTCCCCCGTGTGGATTCGCTGGTGTACGATGAGCACCGAATTCCAGCTGAAGCCCTTCCCGCACTCCGGGCACCTGTAGGGCTTGTCCCCGAGGTGGGCCCTCTGGTGCATGACCAGGATGGAGCCGCGGCTGAAGCTCTTGCCGCACATGAGGCACACGTAGGGCTTCTCGCCCGTGTGGGTCCGCCGGTGCACCACCAGCTGGGAGCGCTGGCCGAAGGCCTTGCCGCACTCGCCGCACTTGTAGGGCCTCTCGCCCGTGTGGATCCGCTGGTGCTTGACGAGGTTGGAGCTCCAGCTGAAGCTCTCGCCGCAGGTCAGGCACTCGTAGGGCTTCTCGCCCGTGTGCATCCCGCGGTGGGCGATGAGGCTGGAGCTCTGGCTGAAGCTCTTCCCGCACTCCCCACACTTGTAGGGCTTCTCCGCCAGGTGGGTCCGGCGGTGGGTGGCCAGGTTGGAGCTGCGGCTGAAGCTTTTCCCGCACTCGGCGCACTGGTAGGGCTTCTCCCCCGTGTGAGTCCTGCGGTGGGTGATGAGGGCCGAGCTCTGGCTGAACCTCTGCCCGCAGTCGGGGCATTTGTACGGCTTCTCCCCCGTGTGGATCCTCTGGTGCCGGATGAGGTTGGAGTTGTAGCTGAAGCTCTCGCCGCAGTCCTTGCACTCGTAGGGCCTCTCCCCAGTGTGGATCCCCTGGTGCGTGTTCAGGCTGGACCGGTTGCCGAAGCTCTTGCCGCACAACGGGCAGGAGTACGGCTTCTCCCCCGTGTGGGTGCGCTGGTGAGCGATGAGGTTGGGGCTCCTGCTGAAACTCTTGCCGCACTCGGCGCACTGGAAGGGCTTCTCGCCCGTGTGGACCCTCTGGTGGGTGACGAGGTTCGCGCTGCGGCTGAAGCTTTTCCCACAGTCCCGGCACTTGTAAGGCCTCTCCCCGGTGTGCGTCGTCTGGTGCCTGCTGAAGTTGGAACCGTCGCTGAAGCTTTTCCCACACTCGTCGCATTTGTAGTACTTCTCTCCCGTGTGGGTCCGCTCGTGCGTGATGAGGTGGGATTTCCGGCTGAAGGTTTTCCCACACTGGGGGCACTCGTAGGGCTTCTCGCCCAGGTAGGTGCCCTGAAGGCCGATGAGCTGTTCGGCTTCCCGGCCCTGAGACGGCACGGCCCTGCGGTCTTCCCTGGAGGCCTTTCCCCGGGGACCCCCGGAGCCACAGTCTCTTTCAAAGTCACTCTCCCAGTCACACTGCCCAACGCCTTCCCCTTCGGGTGCTTCTGAGAAGATCCCACGGGATTCCACATTCTCAAACAAGTCTTGGTTAGAGTTCTCCCCGTTTTCACTCTGGATCTCAAAATCTGAAATAATGAAGAAAAAACAATTTATATTCAATTCCCTGTGATGATGAAAAAAGGAAACCAAGAGGGAAATTTTTTAAATGTCAACATCTAGTGAAAATAAAGAGATTTGCCGAAACCAGTTTGGCTCAGTGGTAGAGCGTCGGTCTGCGGACTAAAAGGTCCCAGGTTCGATTCCGGTCAAGGGCATGTACATTGGTTGCGGGCACATCCCCGGTAGGGGATGTGCAAGAGGCAGCTGGTCGATGTTTCTCTCTCATTGACGTTTCTAGCTCTCTATCTCGCTCCCTTCCTCTCTGTAAAAAACCAATAAAATATATTTAAAAAAAAAAAAAAAAGAAGGAAAAAAAAGAAAAGAAAGAGATTTAAGAATCCTGAAAAGTTTTCAAAACCAGGTTTATTTTCTTCTAACTGGTTATCTAGTTACCAGGCCTCACACTTTCTGGTAATCACCCAGAATTTCTAAGTCTCAAAGCTATGGTTCCTGTCTCTTACTTGTTTCTCCACTGGGAAATGAGGGCAAGTAGAAATGTGAAGATCCTAATCAAGGGAAAGTAACGGGGTTCATGACCCCCAATTCCCACCATGGTGCCTAATGCTTAGTAGGTGCCCAATTAAATTGGATGAGTGAATTTTTTTTATTGGCATCACAGAAATTTCCCTAAAGCTGACTCTCCTTTCAAAAGCAGCTTATAGCCCTGACCGGTTTGGTTCAATGGATAGAGCGTCAGCCTGTAGACTTAAGGGTCCCGGGTTCGATTCCGGTCAAGGGCATGTACCTTGGTTGCGGGCACATTCCTAATAGGAGGTGTGCAGGAGGCAGCTGATCGATGATTCTCTCTCATCAATGCTTCTAACTCTCTCTCCCTTCCTCTCTGTAAAAAATCAATAAAATATATTAAAAAAGAAAGAAAAAGAGAGAGGGAAGAAAAGAAGGAAGGAAGGGAGGGAAGGAGGGAGGAAGGAAGGAACTCTCTGAAGGTAAGGACTTGCCTTCTAGGCAACACTGCCTCTGGGGCCTGGGACAGGCGAGGCAGGCCTCCTTGGTTCAGAGACGAAGAGGAAGTGAGGCTACAACCAGGACCACACAGAAGGGCCACGTGAGGAGAGTGCCTTTGGCTCTCGGGCAGTAGTCCTGGGAATTACTATTATGGAAAAAAGTGGCAATTTTTCATCCAAGAAAAAAAGTTAAATGAAGCAACCACCTCTGTGCAGAGAGATCCTGAACGAGGACGCGAAGAAGAGACGGTGAGACAGAAAATGTGAGCTGGCAACACGAAGGAAGGGAGGGGAAATCCAGAGAAATGAACACACCTAGGAAGGGAGGGGAAATCCAGAGAAATGAACACACCTGGGAAGAAACACAAAGGAATACGGGCCCCACGGGAAGCACAGAAATGGAGGGGGAATGACGTGAGAAAAGCAGTGAGAGAAAATGGAAGCGAAGGAAGAGGTGAGAAGGATCAAAGAGAATGACAGAAACTGAAGTTAGACAAAAGAGAATCAATAAACATAACTGGAATCCTCAAAAAGGGAAATGAAACCAAAGGAACAGAACAAACATCTTAACCTATGAAGATATAAGAACTCTTGAAGCCCTAGCCATTTGGCTCAGTGGATAGAACATCAGCCTGTGGACTCAAGGGTCCCGGGTTCGATTCCGGTCAAAGACACATGCCTGGGGTTGCAGGCTCGATCCTTATTGTGGGGCACGCAGGAGGCAGCCCATCAATGATTCTTTCTTATCATTGATGTTTCCCTCTCTCTCTCTCCCTCTCTCTTTCTCTCTGAAATCAATAAAAGAACATATATTTAAAAGAAAGAAATAAAGAACTCTTGAAAGGCATTGTGTGTGCCAAGGAACACTAACCCAGGGTGGTTAATGAAGAGACAAAGGATAACAAGGAAAAAGATCAAATCGCTTATATGGAGGAGGAAAACCAACCGCTCTCAGATTTCCCTGCAGTAACACTCCATGCCTGCAGACAGTGCAGCCACAGCTGCCAGTTATGCAAGAAAAGAAATGCTTGCCAAGGATTATCTATTCAACAGAGCTGTCCTTCAAGTATACAGTGTCCAGGCAAACGGCTTTGAGTATACACAATCTCTTGGACTATCGGTCCCATGAGCCCTTCCAGAGGAAACTATTAGATGAGTTTCACTCAACCAAGCACAAAGATTGAGATAAAGGCAACTCCAGCAGATAAAGATTGGGGATGAACATCTAATACATATAACTTTATTCTTTTAAATTATTTTAAAAATACGTTTTATTGATTTTTTTTACAGAGAGGAAGAGAGAGGGATAGAGAGTTAGAAACGTCGATGAGAGAGAAACATCGATCAGCTGCCTCCTGCATGCACCCCGCTGGGGATGTGCCCGCAACCAAGGTCCATGCCCTTGACCGGAATCAAACCCAGGACCCTTCAGTCCGACGGTCTATCCACTGAGCCACACCGGTTTCAGCTATATATATGTGTGTGTTTTTTTAAAGGGATGGATAATGCTAGCCATTGTTTTTTTTGTTGTTTTGTTTTTTAAATATATTTTTTATTGATTTCTTACAGAGAGGAAGGGAGGGAGATAGAGAGCCAGAAACATCGATGAGAGAGAAACATCGACCAGCCGCCTCCTGCAGCCAATGTACATGCCCTTGACCGGAATCGAACCCGGGACCTTTCAGTCCGCAAACCGACGCTCTATCCACTGAGCTAAACCGGTTTCGGCAATGCTAGCCATTGTTACCGAGTTCTCTCTCACATGTGTCCAGTCTCCTCCCCTCCCCCTATGGTCCCCATCCGGACCTGACCCCTGTACACCTGATGTCTAAGTGGCTTCCCGGCTGCTCTCCTGCCTCCAGCCTCTCCCTACTCTAATCAAACCCACATCCTGTTGCCCAACTTGGCTTCCTCCCCTGCCCTGTGGGCCCCAGTTCAAGAACCTGCCGAGGCCAAGCCTCCACCCACCCTTCCCCCAAACCTACTTCCTCCCACTTCCAGAACACACCCTCTCCACAGCCAGCCTCTTTCTTTCTTTCTTTTTTTAAAAAAATATATTTTATATTATTACAGACAGGAAGAGAGAGGGATAGAGAGTTAGAAACATCGATGAGAGAGAATCATCGACCAGCTGCCTCTTGCACATCCCCTCGTGGGGATGTGTCCGCAAGCGAGGTACATGCCCTTGACCGGAATCGAACCTGGGACCCTTCAGTCCGCAGGCCGACACTCTATCCACTGAGCCACACCGGTTTCGGCCAGCCAGCCTTTCTTACCGCCACCTGCACTACGCCAGGCTGGTCCTCCCTTCGGAGCCTCTGCTTCCCACAGCTCCTCTGGGATGCCACCCTCCACCTGCCCCGCGCCCTTCCAAATCCTCCGTAAAGCCTCCTGAGCTCCCCTCTCCTCCTGCAGCTCTCATGAGCACAGGGCAGCGGTACCCCATGGGTCCTGCAGCAGCGTGGGGGGCACCCGTGGAAGGGAAGTTAATATCTGGAAATCAGGGAGTCCAGTTGACAAGGGAAGAGCAGGCAGAGGCAGAGTCAGGAGACAAACATATTAACTGTTGCAATGAACTCAAGTTTGTCATTCCTCTTTTAAGAGCTCGGCATGACTCTGTGCCACAGAAAAGTCCCTGGTTGCCCTGACCGGTGTGGCTCAGTGGATAGAGCGTCAGCCTGCGGGCTGAAGGGTCCCAGGTTCGATTCCGGTCAAGGGCATGTACCTTGGTTGCGGGCACATCCCCAGTAGGAGGTGTGCAGGAGGCAGCTCATCGATGTATCTCTCTTATAGATGTTTCTAATTCTCTATTCCTCTCTTCTTCTTCTTTCCAAAAAAATCAATAAAATATATTAAAACTTAAAATTAAAAAAATAAATCTAGGAGCTTAAAAAAAAATAAAATAAAGTAGGATTTGTTTTTCTAACTGCTGGAACTTCAAACATTTGAATGTTCATTGCACAACCAAGCGAAGGTTCCAAGGAGTGATTTATAGGGTCATAGGCCCTTCCCCCCACTCCTCCTCCAGCTTCCCAACCACTCAGAATGAACACAGGCTTGCTACGCACATACAGTTCCAAGACTGGTCCTCTAAGCCCCGTCTGTCCTGAAATTCTGGAACTGTCACTGCACCCAAGGACTTTAAAGAAGTGACAATGGGCCCTGGCTGGTTTGGCTCAGTGGATAGAGCGTCGGCCTGCGGACTGAAGGGTCCCAGGTTCGATTCCAGTCAAGGGCACGTATGGACCTTGGTGGCAGGTTCCCTGGCCCTGTTCGGGATGCGTGCAGGAGGCAAGCCATCGATGTGTCTCTCTCACATCGATGTTTCTCTCTCGCTCTCCCTCCCCCTTCCACACTCTCTAAAAATCAATGGGAAAAACTATCCTCGAATGAGGACCAACAGAAACCAACATGCTGACTTTCCACAGACAACTCAGAGGCCTGGGGCTGTCCCAAACTTTGCCCCGGACACCACCTTGGCCTCCTCTACCTGGGAAGGCCCCTCTCCCCCATCCCTACGCGTTTCCTGTCTCACCACTGTCCCGAAGGCTCTGGGTCAAGTCTTCCATCAGGGCCACCGTCTCCTCGCTGCTCTCGGGCCTGTGCTCCTGCAGCCAGGCCTGGATCTCCCTGGGCATCAGGGTCAGCATCTGCTCCTTGGTGTGCACCTCCGGCCTCAGCCAGCGCCGGCAGAGCTCTCGGAGGCGGCCCAGCGCGCCCTGCGGCCCCCTAGCCGCCTCCTCGCCGGGGCCGCCCTTGCCAGCGTTCTGGGAGAAGGGCTCGGACCCGGGGCCGTCCTCCTGCAGCACAGCCTCCTGGACCCAAGAGTTGTCCTCCAGGATCACGGTGGCGACCTCCGCCTCCTGGTCATCTTCCTCCGGAGGTGCCTGGGCCAGGGGACTCGGGGGAGTGGGCACTCGGGGCACCTCTGCATCCATCACCCACGTTCTCGGGGCAACCCCTCAGGCCTCCAGCCTTCCGCTTCCGTCTTATCCAGCCACTCTCTCCGAGAAGACACGTCCCTCCTTGGATTTCGACAAGCAGCCCAGCTGAGAAAAGAGAAAAGAGCACCAGGATCAATAAGTAAAAGGTCCCTTGCCAAAATCGGTGTGGCTCGATGGATAGAGCCACGGCCTGCGGACTGAACGGACCCGGGTTTGATTCCCGTCAAGGGCATGTGCCTTGGTTGCGGGCACATCCCCAGTAGGAGGTGTGCAGGAGGCAGCTGATGGATGTTCCTCTCAAGGATGTTTCTGACTCTCTATCCCTCTCCCTTCCTCTCTGTAAAAAAAAAAAATCAATAAAATACATTAAAAAAAAAATAAGTAAACTGTCCCAAAACGATCTAAGCTACAGCAACCCAGGTCAAGCCACCAGGTAATTCTTACGCCCACAAATCAACGAGGTTCCTGTCCCTCTTAAAGGCAAAATGGCTTATTCCTGAAAGCCTGCCTCTCTCTGGCAAGAGAAGAATGGCAAACACAAAGTACACAGCGTTTTTCTTCCCAAAAGACCGAAGCATGAGCGTCAGAAATCCAAAGCCCTGGCAAGAATCAGGACGGAGTTGTCCTGCCCTGAGTCAGTTCAGACTTGTGGCGGACTGAGTGACCTTGACCTCACACACTCAGGTCAACCTCAATGACCACCACTGAGCAGAGATAATAACGTCATCCTTCTTATTTTACGGGGACATCGTAAGGATTAGCAATGGCTCAGGTGTCAAGAGATGGAGCCTCACTAGAAGGAAGAAAATAATATCTCAAACCACATTATTACCATATTTAAAGGTTATTTTTTGTTATTATTTCACTGTTACCTTTTTAAAAATATATATTTTATTGATTTTTTACAGAAAGGAAGAGAGAGGGATAGAGAGTTAGAAACATCAATGAGAGAGAATCATCCATCAGCTGCCTCCTGCACACCCCCTACTGGGGATGTGCCCGCAACCAAGGTACATGCCCTTGACCGGAATCGAACCCGGGACCCTTCAGTCCCCAAGCCAACGCTCTATCCATTGAGCCACACCGGTTTCGGCTATTACCATATTTAAAAGTAAGAAGTTTTGCCCTAGCCAGTTTGGGTTAGGATTAGGGTGTGCACGACTGCACTGCTTCAGGGGTAGGTAGTTCTTTTTAAAGGTTCTGAGAAGGAAAACCCTTATTTTGCAGCAACTGTTGTTAGGAATTTTCTGCTGTTCTTTCTAGATAAAATATTGCTTTCTAGTTTGCTTTAGTCCATTTGAAGAATGATGAAGATAAACTTAGCTGTCTGACCTTGTAGGCCAGAGACCAGATATGCCCACAATCTCAATACCATGCCAGGTGCACTTTTTAATTGGATAGAACAGCATTGTTTTCAAGGCCAGCATGGAGATAACCACTAAGTGCACATAGGGCTGGCTCTTTAATTAAAAAAAAGGGAGTTCTGCCTGTAACCTTGCTTAGAATTTGAATTCATCCTCCCTAAGAACAAAGCAAGTCTCTCCAAACTCTTCCCCTGCACCGACCGCTCGGGAACTCTGCAACAGTTCAAACCACAGGAATTTTCCTTTGTTCTAAATTCTAAATCCTAAAGACTATATTCTAAAAACTGAGGTCAGCCCACAGGGTCGTCCCCAGTCACATCCTGCTGGACATTGGAATGTGGCCCTATCTTGCAGAAGCGGAACTCAGCGGTTAATCTCCAAAGGTTACGGTCCCAGGCACAGGGAAATTGCCTCAGCAGGTTTAAAATTCAAACAGCAGTTTTTACCTGAGATGTATATTCTTAATGTCTTATTTCAAAAGGTCCCAGGTTCGATTCTGGTCAAGGGCATGTACATTGGTTGCTGGTACAGCCCCGGTGGGGGTTGTGCAGGAGGCAGCTGGTCTATGTTTCACTCTCATCGATGTTTCTAGTTTTCTATCCCTCTCCCTTCCTCTCTGTAAAAAATCAATAAAATTTATTTTAAAAAATAAAAATAAAAGAGCTGGACGGAAATTCTACAAGATGTTGAGAGCGGTGAGATTACAAAATACTTAAAGACTACAAAAACAATGAAAAATTATTTTAAAAATCAATATATCATAAAACACTCAGATAATACCACCTCCCAAAAAAAAGGAAACGCTTTTTTTTTTTTTAAATATATATTTTATTGATTTTGTACAGAGAGGAAGGGAGAGAGATTCAGAGTTAGAAATATCAATGAGAGAGAGTCATCGATCAGCTGCCTCTTGCACACCCCCTACTGGGGATATGCCCGCAACCAAAGTACATGCCCTTGACCGGAATCGAACCCGGGTCCCTTCAGTCCCCAAGCTGACGCTCTATCCACTGAGCCAAACCGGTCTCGGCAAAAAGGAAACGCTTTAAAAAAAATAATAAAATAGGGATACTAGTGGGAAAAACCGAAGTTCCCAATGTATATTCACAAGGACTAAGAAGAAACAGGAATAACAGAACTCTTGCCGAAACTCGTTTGGCTCAGTGGATAGAGCGTCCAGCTGCAGACTGAAAGGTCCCAGGTTCGATTCCGGTCAGGGGCATGTACCTTGGTTGCGGGCACATCCCCCGTAGGGGGTGTGCAGGAGGCGGCTGGTCGATGTTTCTCTCTCATTGACGTTTCTAGCTCTCTATCTCTCTCCCTTCCTCTCTGTAAAAAAAACAATAAAATATATTAAAAATAATAATAATAAAAACATAGGAGTGCTAGTGAGAAAAGCCGAAGTTCCCAATGTGTAGTATTCACAAGGACTAAGAAGAAAACAGGAATCACAGAACTCTTACTGAGAACCCCGGGAAAACCGTTCCTGGTAAAGCTAAGAAGTCTCTGCGTGACCCGGGCCAAGGACACGCCCCCTCTGAGCTCAGTTTCCCCATGTGCACAACCAGGAGCTGCGCGGGACGCCGACCCGGCGTGCATCCCGTCCGAAGCCTGCGCCCCCGGTTGCACGGACGGGGAGCTCACCGCGTGCACGGAGCCCGCCCGGGTCCGTCCGCGGGGAGCGCCCCCCACGCCCCTCCCCCAGCAGGCTGCCCGCACTGGCTCCAGGCCCGTTATTCCCACGCCTCGCGCCACCCTCCCGGGCCGCGAGGCTCCAGGCCCGCCTCTCCTCCGGGCTCACCTCCCCGGGGACCAGATCCCGCTCCGGCGGCGGCAGCGGCAGCGGCTGGCGGCTTTGTGTGCACAAGCGCCCGGGGCACGGCCCGGGCCCGGGAGTCGCGACGGGCTCTGGCCCGAGGGGCACCGAGAACAATGGACGGTAGGGGCCCGCCCCCCAACCGCTCTCATTGGCTCCCTAGAACGGCCCCTGAAACTCTGCTTTCCTATTGGTAGAAACGGTGTCCGAGCCGGCGGCGGGAAGGAGGCGAGGTCGAAAGGCATTGTGGGCGATGTAGTCCATCTGCCCAGACCACCCAGGCTGCAGGACTGGGAGCGGAGTTTGGGGGGTGTTGAGAGTCTGGGAGGTGCCTGAGGGCCAGAGGCAGAAAATCCGCGGGCTGTTCTTCAGGACTGCAGTGTTGGCCAGAGCTGTGATCTGGAACAGGTCATGACACTTTGAGGCTTTCCTCTATTTGTCTATAAAAAGTGAAAGTTAGATGAAGGGACTTGAAGGTCCTTTTCAGCTGTGATTAGGCCCCTCGGCGGTCAAAAGCATCCCTGGATGAGGAAAAGCATCAGCATAGTAATAGCCCCCTGTCGCCCCAGCCCAGCACCCCTCTCCCCGACTTAAAGGTACACCTAGCCATTGCATACACCTCTGTTTTTGCAAGTGGCATTCCCGTTTCTAGCAGTGTTTCCCAAACTTTTGACATATGTGTACCCCTTCTATAATTTTCGTAACGCTGAGTACCCCTTGTACTCATGAGAACGTAGAATTGGGCGCAGCTAAGCACGGTGCAATGCATATCCCCACCAAACTCCGGTGCAACGGGTGTCCCCACCAAACTTTGGGAAACACTGGTATACAGGGATGCCCTGTCCTGTCTCTTCTGCCAGGAGCTCCCATTCTTTCCTCAGTTTCCATCAGCAAACCTCCAGGGACACCGTCCTCAGTACATCTTCCGAGGTCTCCCTGCTGTCAGTGGAAGGTGGACCTCTATCCTGGTGTTCTCATGCTTGGCAGTTCTTGAAGATAAGGTTTGGAGATAACCGGAGGCTGTATGACAAGTAAGAAACTGCCTGGAAGTCCAAGGCGGGGGATATAAGAACGGAGCGAGCGAGCTCTCACTGATGTGGCTCAGTGGGTAGAGCATCCCCCTGCAGACTGAAGGGTCCCAGGTTCAATTCCAGCTAAGGACACATGCCCAGGTTGGGGGCTTGATCTCCAGTAGGGGGCGTGCAGGAGGCAGCCGACGAATGATTCTCTCATCCTTGATGTTTCTATCTAACTCTTTCCTTTCCTCTCTGAAATAAATAAATAAATAAATTAATTAATTAATTAATTAATTAATTTTAAAAAAAGAATGGTGAGAAAGACACTCTTAAAGATCTGTGATAGCCAGGACCGGTTTGGCTCAGTGGATAGAGCGTTGGCTTGGGGATTGAAGGGTCCCGGGTTCGATTCCGGTCAAGGGCATGTGCCTTGGTTGCGGGCATATCCCCAGTAGGGGGTGTGCAAGAGGCAGCTGATCGATGACTCTCTCATTGATGTTTCTAGCTATCTCTCTCTCTTCCTCTCTGTACAAAATCAATAAAATATATATTTTTTAAAAAAGATCTGTGATAGATAGAACAATCGTGTGTGTTGGGGCAGAGCAATTATTGGAGGCCCACACAAATGACTACATTTGTTGTTTTCATTTAAATTTCATGGAAATTTAATTTTCATTTCGTGAATGTTTAATAAAGGTTTTATGTTTATTGGTGATTTTAATCTCATTTTCTATTAACTTATTGTTCCTATATTCTTTCCGCTTTTTAAATGGTATTTATCCATAAGAGTTCTTTGTA